ATTTATATTTTTGGAGTTTACCTGTAAGCCATAAATCTCCGTGTTTTGAAGTGCGACAGAATAATTGACATATTAGTTAGTTGTCAAATCTAATGTCAAAAAAAACGTTTGTATGGGAAAGAGAAAAGGGCTGATTTTATGATTTTCCAACCAATGAATCAATTTCTTTCTGCTTTTATACCTTCCCTGAACCTCCACGAACATTTCAAGACTAAGATAAGATAAATCCGTTCAACGGTTCTCGTGTTTTAGCGAGACTAAGGAACAGCAATCCATTTTTATATATATATAGATATTGTAATAGCCTTACGAAGTGGCTGTTAAATAAAACCTGAAAGCACTTAAGATCTCTGTTACGCCTAAACCTACTTGTTTTTAATCTTTTATTACATAAAGATAACGGTCAATATTTGAGGATCATTTTAGGTAATTTATTTTACAATAATTGCTCTTCAACCTTATAGCAGTTAAAAGAATTTGTAAAAAGAAAATGAAGCTAGCACTTATTATCATTCAAAATGTAACCAAATCGTAACATTAGATCTGGTAAGCTTGTGGATTGCAAAACATTTTACCTTAACATCAGTGAAAACGATTAAAATTTAAGAGCGATCTCATAAAAAAAATTGTTATCAAAGTAAAATACGTTATAATGGCAAACACACCCGGTGGATCCATTAACGAATGTCGTCTCATTATTTAATTTTATTACCATGTCACTAAATTTCAATATTGACTAAAGGGATTTGTGATGTTTCTATCACAATACGTATATTGTCCAGTCCTAATAAATGAAACGCTTTAAAATGGAACTATTCACGGAGAATGGATTTAACGTCCTCTTATCTAAATAGGCTTTTGATCACATCAATGAATGAAAAGTATTACTGTGATATTATATTAGATTTCACTGTATACGTTGGTATTGTCATATATTTTTTTTCAAGTATTTCTAAAAAAAATGTTTAATATAAAGGAACCGTTAGTATAATAAACACAAACTTTTCAAATATTCAGATAATTCTTTACAGATATTGTAATATTTAAACTTTAATATAAAGAACATAAAACAATCACCAGAATGATATGTAAGATATTCGAAATTCATTTAAATGAAACTTTACAGCAACCGTGATCACAGGCAGACGGTATGATAATATGACGAATCGAAACGTCGCGTCGGGAACATATAGAAATAAATTTATAGAAAACGAGTAGTATACGAAAAACTTAGTTTTATTTAAACAATCACTGTATTGAAATACAACAACAAAAAAATGCAACCGGAACTACAATTCGACTCCATTTGTTCTCTTAAAGTCTATTGTAGTGGAATGGTTTGAAGTTTGTGACGGAAATAAAAAATACCTACGTACCTATAATACCAGACTTCGAATAAAACATAGTTAGATCAATCAACCTTATGAATGATGTAGATCAATCGGTGAAATTATATTGTTGTTATTTTTGTGTTTAGTTTCACTATTTTATGTATTCATAGTTATTTAAAACAAAGTTTTACTTGAAGTATTTAGGACATTTAAGTGTTAACTTAACTAAAATAAAATGTTTGTCCTTTAAATTTGGTTAAAAATTTAACATTTAATGTTAAAGAGCCGTTCCTTTTTATTATTATCACCAATTTATAATTTCACTGTCATAAATAACTTGTAGAGATTATATACATTTCTGTAAGTAAAAAAAACCTATTAATTCGATTGACAGTTTCCCATAACTGTCCACAGCAGTCTAGTTGAAAGGTTAAAGACTAAGAAGTTCAGATCAAAGACTTTGTATCGATATGAAAGTTATATTGAAAATTTCAAACGAAAACAATTGAAAAATATTAAATGAAATTATACACATTTCGACAAATATAACTGAGTTTAAAAATCTTCATTGTTAATTTTATCTTGACGAAATTTCACTTTATTTTTCCGATATACATATTCTTGTTATTTAATACCAAAATATGGATGATTATGAATAAGAAACAGTGTTTTCTAGGAGATAAGTTTTCTTAGATACCTAAAAGTCTTAATAACATAGATACATACAATAAAGTCGACATTTTATTCGAAGAAACTAATTTTATACAATAATTAAAACATTACATTAAAATCATTAACAATATTTGTATCTAAAATCTAGTTCAAGGAGTATCCCTGGAATTGGAAGATATTTATTTACTTTTAAATAATCCCCTCCTTTTCTAATATTAAACAGATAGAAAAATTAGTATTTTGTATCTACTGAAAGTATAGTGTCAACTTATAACTTTACTTAATATTTTAAAGGCTGTCTTGTACTTTCAATCAAATATATATATTTCGTATTTTTAAATCATCAAAATCATTATATATCTAAATATATTTCAATACATTAACTACATAATAGAAGAATATAAATAAGTCCCAATTGATTGACACGGGTTTTTTACTAAAACTAATTTATAATTTTGATCCCATATCATGTCTAAATCTAAACTCATTGTTTATAGTTTAGGGTTAAACTGAGAATTAAATTAAGATCGTTGAGAGTTGATAGAAGTGATGTGATAACATTTCAACTTGTCATATCCACTATCTAACATATCAAAGATATTTATAATAATATTAATTACTTATTTACTCAATAAAGTTTTCGTTAATCTATCTTCAGATATAATAGTGAGTAAAACTTAGCGATTAACTTTTGTAACATATAATGAAAAATGTGAATTCTTAAATAAATATCTAGAGCATTCCTTAGGCTCATAAAAGTATTATATATAATTTAAGACACAATGAAGTTAAAAATTTGTTGAATAAAATTAAATTCATATCACCTATTTATTCAGGAAACTCAAAGTTAGATAAAAGTCATTATTCAAAATCAGTTAAATTAAGATGAATCAAACAGCACGTTTGGTTAGAGGTGCAAGTACGAAGTTTGTAAATTTGTGTCAAACCTTGTATTGAAACTACGTTGTATCTTTATCTAGTTACATGTGAAATATTAAAAGTTTTAAAGTAATTTTTTTTTATCATTATTCAATAAACTTAAAATGTAACATTGGAAACATATTGTAATGTTAAAAATCTAAGAAGAAAAATATAAGCGTTGGATGAGGCGGAAAGGCAAGCCGACAACTTTCCGTCTGACGCAGGTCTTAATCGGGCACGGGTGCTTCGGTTATTACTTGTTTCGGACGGGTAGGACAGAGCCGGAAGAAGGCTACCTTGAGTGTGGCGCTTGGTAACAAGGCTTGGTAACAAGGCTCCTATGAAAGCCCGGCGTCGTCGGGGCAGTCCTAATTGCCGGGATCGCCCCCATACTCCAAAGGAGTAAGTCCGGTCTTTGCCAGGACTGGCCAGTCGTTGGTGTGCCCTGTCGCTGACAGATCCGGGGTATACCGACATGGCGGCCGATGGCTTTCGCAGTAGTTTTAGTGAGGAGGGGCCTACCCAGGCCGAGCCTCACACATCCCTTCCGGCCCCACAAAGGCCGGTTGGACGGCTCGTAAAAAGAGTTTCCCTGCGACATAAAAAAAAACACTATTTAAATAATATTTGTCAGTAACCCCTTCACAAGAAAATGTAATTTGGTTTAGCTATTTAAATTGTTTAAAAACGGTGCAAAACTTAAACAATGATTATTATTAAGCAAAGCAAGATTGCTATTTAATTACGTTTGGTGGAAGCGAAGAATGCAAGAAAAATCCGTTTTACTTATAAAATATATTCAATTTAACAATTAAGACTTAAATTTAACTACTAGCTAGAGCGGGATCTTTAAGTCAGCGATTGATTTAAGACCCATTCTATAATTAAATCTTATAAGTAACTACATCCTAAATAGGTGTCTGTAAGTCAGCGGTTAACTCCAGACTGAATATATGTTAAATCCCATTTTGCATTCCCACCGATGGTGCTAGGCGTGTGGTGTCCATTTCACTTTCACATTCCCACCGATGGCACAGAGTCAGCATTCCATTCTTTATACCATTGTTATACCGTAAACTTAATATCTGGATATGCTTACGTAACAGTTTTAAAAATATTATGAGTTTTTGAGATTTATTTATTTGCCAACATTTATCACGGGTAGGCAAGATGAAAATCTCTGTCAGTTGGCTATTCTATTTATCATCTAACGCCAGCAATTTCTTAATTACCGAGGGAACCGCTTGACCGCAATATGCAGACATCCAGAGCGCTACTTACATTTATTTTGAAGTTTATTCTCATAAGTTTTCATGTCAAAGGGTTAGATAATATTCAGCAATAATAGTTACAACATCTGTTTTATTATCAGAGTACTTGTTTTGTTTTTCTTAAGGCATAATTTAAATTTTCACAACCCACTATGACAGAAAAACAACAAAAATATAAGCTCGAATGGTTTAAATAAATGCAAAATTTCTTAACATATTTCTTCTTAATGTCCGTAATAGAATATCTTCCTCAATAGTTTGTATGTTTATTATATTATTTTGTTAATAATTTCCTAGCATTTTATTGAACACCAGCTGTTTGAGATTGCTTTCAACCGAGGCTGGTATAAAACTTGTACGAGTTTAAACTGCCAATACTGGTAGGGAGAGGAACTTGGACAGTGGAGGTGAGCGTATAACGCGCGTTAGTTAAGGGGCCCCTTAAACCTACACCTGGGTCGCAAGTCCCAGGCACTGTTGAAGCTCCTCTCCCTGCAACGCAATGGACCCGGCACCCGCACGGTGAATCCATTGAATGCTAAGAGGTTTCGTCTCATATAAAACGACTGCCCGGAGAGTCGGGCTGACTCTGGAAAGACAGATGACTGCCGGAAAGACGGATGACTGCCGGAAAGACGGATGACTGCTGGAAAGACAGCCGAGGGCAACGGCCTAGCAAGCCCAGCCCGGGATTTATTAAGCTAAAAGTCCTATAAAGAAAAATACCCCTGGGACAGTCCGAGAGGGGGGGCGGAAGATCTGTCCACCGGTCGATTTAAACGGCGAAAACGGCGCGAATACGGACTTGAAATGCCCTACGTGCGGGAAAAATTACAAGAGACGAGCCTGGTACATTAAACACCTAAAAACACATAATGGTGTTGAAGCGCGACAATCGTTGGTAAGTTCTTCAATTATCACTTCGGATAGAGTTGACCCTCACGTATCCCATGGTGAACCATTAACTGGAAACCACCAGGAGTCCATTAACATCCGGACACGTCTTAGCATTCCTAACATGAAACAATCGACTTGGAAAGTTCACGACGACAATTTAGCGGTCCTGTTAGAGCATCCGGGCTCGAAGCAGGAATTGAACTCGCAGGTAGAAACTTTCCAAAATACCGTTTATGACTACTTCAACGAGCAATATCCACCACGTAATCATTACGCTCGCAAAAATAAAGAAAATTCGTTCAAGATAAAAATGAGGAAGAAAAAACGGGAATTAATAAAAAATCTACGTATAGCCAAAGCTCTAGGCGACAACCACCTTAGTCATCAGCTAGCTAGGGCGTTAAGGTCAATCCTTAAATTAATTCAAGGAATATCGGCACAAACTGCAGAATATCGCGGTAATTTTGACCGGGCCAAACAGGAAGTAGATTTTGATAAAAACCCTTTTGAGTATTCGAAAACCATTTTTAAGAAAGAACGCGGACAGCTTCTCTTGACCAACGATCAAATTTACGACCATTTCAAGAGCACATACGAAGTGCCTAAAAGTGTAAGGCTCTATACGGATCCAAACGAACAAAAACCGGAAATTCCTCATATCGATTTTCACGGCATACCACCAACGTTAGACGAAATAAGTAGTCACATAAAGAGGAAATCATCTAAATCTGCACCGGGCCCCGATGGTATCCCATATATAGTCTTTAAAAAATGTCCATCGGTTCGTAAACACCTCATAAATATATACGGCAAAATCTGGTCAAGGAAGCAAATCCCGGAGTGTTTCGGGAAAGCAATTTTTGTCCTCATTCCCAAAAAAGATCGAGTTACCGATCCGAAGGATACTAGACCGATAGCCTTAACAAATACAATTTCTAAAATCTTTTTCTCGGTCCTACAAACGAGAATGACGCGATTCATGCTCAGCAACAAGTATTTTAGGCCAAATCACCAGAAAGGGTTTCTACCCGGGATTTCTGGATGCCTAGAACACAACACCTTGCTGTCGGAGAGTTTGAAAGATGCTAGAAAAAGCGAGCGGCAAATTACAGTTTGTTGGATAGACTTAGAGAACGCGTTCGGGTCGATACAACACGAGTTGATGCTATTCGCGCTTAGATGGTACAACTTTCCACCCCTAGTTAGAGATATGATCGCGTCGTATTACTCAAAATTAAGGTTTTCTATAATAACTAAAGAAGGCCCTTCAAAAAGTTTGAGTTATAATGTAGGACTGTTTCAAGGTTGTTGTCTATCTCCAATTACGTTTAATATCGTTATTAACATCTTAGTAGACAAATTAATCTGTAACGAGAAAAAATGGGGTTATCGGTTTAAGTTTAATAATAAATACACGGAATCCATTTTAGCCTTCGCTGACGATCTCGCAATACTGACACGTCACCCCAAACACTGTCAAGTACTATTGGATGAAGTGGATAAATTCTGTGAGTGGACGGATGGATTGAGGACAAAACCAAGTAAATGTCACTGTTTGTGTCTTGGTAGGCGGAATACAAGATACACCTCATACGATCCGGGACTATCGATAGGCGGTCAATGCGTTTCTACGGTTACGGAAGATGCACCATTCAAGTTTCTCGGTCGTAAGATTGATAATATAGGTCGTACTCCATCTTTAGAAGGAATAGTAGATAGCTTTTTAAATGATCTTAACAAGGTAGATAGCCAGCAGATCAGTAACGTAAAAAAAGCATGGATCTACGATAATTATTTAACTTCACGTTTGAATTGGCCTTTCCTCGTCTATGATTTTAGTAAAACCCTTTTATCTAAATTAGATGCAGGCGTCATAAAGATGTTGAAGTTGTGGCTCGGGCTCGCGCTAACGGCTGATTCATCGGCTTTATTCAGGGATCGTAATAGTTTTGGGATGAATCTAAAAAGACCATCGGAGCTCTACAAACACCTAAGAGTTTCCAAGAGACATATCCTGGGAAAATCCCATGATGACGTCGTTACATCACTCCCAAAAGACAATGATGCCCCAGAGCTAGAGTCACGACTTCAATTCCATAAACAATTTATGATCGGAGCGCAAAATAACAGAGTAGGGTTAGGATCAAGTAGGAAAGTCCAAGATGCGGATATATTGAAGTCTTTTATTCGGCAAGACGAGAACGATAAATACAAGATCCATGCAATGAGTTTAGAAATGCAGAACGAGTGGTTAGACATAGGAGATTTTTGCATTCCACTAGCACTAAAATGGCGCACCCTAATTCATGACTGGTCGCCAGCCTTGCTAAAATTTTATCTCAATGCGTTCCAGATGACTCTCCCAGATCAGAGTAATTTAGTAAGATGGGGTAAAGGTACCGAAAAAACTTGCTATATCTGCGGAAAGGCAGTTGGAACTGCCAAGCATTTGCTGGTGGGATGTAAGGTTCTCCTGGACAGCGGTCAATACTCGCGTCGTCACGATAGGGTTTTAGAGATCATACGTGAAGCGGTTAGTCTTTCGGTAGCCAGAGCGCAAAGGGAAATAACCACAAACGAGCGATCAATAGGATTTGTGAGAGAGGGCACCAGGGCTATAAAATCAAACGTCAAGCCTTACTCTATCCTTAAAGCGGCTTCGGATTGGACTATCATGATGGATACGTATGAGAAACAATACAAAATCCCCGAGGATATTTGTGCGTCGGCCTCCAGACCAGACATATTTCTATATTCGCGTATTTTAAAGCGCGTTGTGATGATAGAGCTTACGGTGCCTTGGGAAACCAACATCCCCAAAGACCATGCCATCAAGGTCAATAAGTATTACGAGCTCACTAACGAACTAACTCGAAATAGGTTCGTCGTTGATTTGTACGCGGTGGAGGTGGGAGCGAGAGGTATAACAGCTAAATCTCTCTATAACCTACTAAAAGACTTGGGCCTGTCCAGAACTAACATTAATTCATTCTTAGAACGTACGTCGAAGGCAGCCCTAGTAGGTTCTTTTCAAATTTGGTTAGGTAGGGAGAGGAACTTGGACAGTGGAGGTGAGCGTATAACGCGCGTTAGTTAAGGGGCCCCTTAAACCTACACCTGGGTCGCAAGTCCCAGGCACTGTTGAAGCTCCTCTCCCTGCAACGCAATGGACCCGGCACCCGCACGGTGAATCCATTGAATGCTAAGAGGTTTCGTCTCATATAAAACGACTGCCCGGAGAGTCGGGCTGACTCTGGAAAGACAGATGACTGCCGGAAAGACGGATGACTGCCGGAAAGACGGATGACTGCTGGAAAGACAGCCGAGGGCAACGGCCTAGCAAGCCCAGCCCGGGATTTATTAAGCTAAAAGTCCTATAAAGAAAAATACCCCTGGGACAGTCCGAGAGGGGGGGCGGAAGATCTGTCCACCGGTCGATTTAAACGGCGAAAACGGCGCGAATACGGACTTGAAATGCCCTACGTGCGGGAAAAATTACAAGAGACGAGCCTGGTACATTAAACACCTAAAAACACATAATGGTGTTGAAGCGCGACAATCGTTGGTAAGTTCTTCAATTATCACTTCGGATAGAGTTGACCCTCACGTATCCCATGGTGAACCATTAACTGGAAACCACCAGGAGTCCATTAACATCCGGACACGTCTTAGCATTCCTAACATGAAACAATCGACTTGGAAAGTTCACGACGACAATTTAGCGGTCCTGTTAGAGCATCCGGGCTCGAAGCAGGAATTGAACTCGCAGGTAGAAACTTTCCAAAATACCGTTTATGACTACTTCAACGAGCAATATCCACCACGTAATCATTACGCTCGCAAAAATAAAGAAAATTCGTTCAAGATAAAAAATGAGGAAGAAAAAAAACGGGAATTAATAAAAAATCTACGTATAGCCAAAGCTCTAGGCGACAACCACCTTAGTCATCAGCTAGCTAGGGCGTTAAGGTCAATCCTTAAATTAATTCAAGGAATATCGGCACAAACTGCAGAATATCGCGGTAATTTTGACCGGGCCAAACAGGAAGTAGATTTTGATAAAAACCCTTTTGAGTATTCGAAAACCATTTTTAAGAAAGAACGCGGACAGCTTCTCTTGACCAACGATCAAATTTACGACCATTTCAAGAGCACATACGAAGTGCCTAAAAGTGTAAGGCTCTATACGGATCCAAACGAACAAAAACCGGAAATTCCTCATATCGATTTTCACGGCATACCACCAACGTTAGACGAAATAAGTAGTCACATAAAGAGGAAATCATCTAAATCTGCACCGGGCCCCGATGGTATCCCATATATAGTCTTTAAAAAATGTCCATCGGTTCGTAAACACCTCATAAATATATACGGCAAAATCTGGTCAAGGAAGCAAATCCCGGAGTGTTTCGGGAAAGCAATTTTTGTCCTCATTCCCAAAAAAGATCGAGTTACCGATCCGAAGGATACTAGACCGATAGCCTTAACAAATACAATTTCTAAAATCTTTTTCTCGGTCCTACAAACGAGAATGACGCGATTCATGCTCAGCAACAAGTATTTTAGGCCAAATCACCAGAAAGGGTTTCTACCCGGGATTTCTGGATGCCTAGAACACAACACCTTGCTGTCGGAGAGTTTGAAAGATGCTAGAAAAAGCGAGCGGCAAATTACAGTTTGTTGGATAGACTTAGAGAACGCGTTCGGGTCGATACAACACGAGTTGATGCTATTCGCGCTTAGATGGTACAACTTTCCACCCCTAGTTAGAGATATGATCGCGTCGTATTACTCAAAATTAAGGTTTTCTATAATAACTAAAGAAGGCCCTTCAAAAAGTTTGAGTTATAATGTAGGACTGTTTCAAGGTTGTTGTCTATCTCCAATTACGTTTAATATCGTTATTAACATCTTAGTAGACAAATTAATCTGTAACGAGAAAAAATGGGGTTATCGGTTTAAGTTTAATAATAAATACACGGAATCCATTTTAGCCTTCGCTGACGATCTCGCAATACTGACACGTCACCCCAAACACTGTCAAGTACTATTGGATGAAGTGGATAAATTCTGTGAGTGGACGGATGGATTGAGGACAAAACCAAGTAAATGTCACTGTTTGTGTCTTGGTAGGCGGAATACAAGATACACCTCATACGATCCGGGACTATCGATAGGCGGTCAATGCGTTTCTACGGTTACGGAAGATGCACCATTCAAGTTTCTCGGTCGTAAGATTGATAATATAGGTCGTACTCCATCTTTAGAAGGAATAGTAGATAGCTTTTTAAATGATCTTAACAAGGTAGATAGCCAGCAGATCAGTAACGTAAAAAAAGCATGGATCTACGATAATTATTTAACTTCACGTTTGAATTGGCCTTTCCTCGTCTATGATTTTAGTAAAACCCTTTTATCTAAATTAGATGCAGGCGTCATAAAGATGTTGAAGTTGTGGCTCGGGCTCGCGCTAACGGCTGATTCATCGGCTTTATTCAGGGATCGTAATAGTTTTGGGATGAATCTAAAAAGACCATCGGAGCTCTACAAACACCTAAGAGTTTCCAAGAGACATATCCTGGGAAAATCCCATGATGACGTCGTTACATCACTCCCAAAAGACAATGATGCCCCAGAGCTAGAGTCACGACTTCAATTCCATAAACAATTTATGATCGGAGCGCAAAATAACAGAGTAGGGTTAGGATCAAGTAGGAAAGTCCAAGATGCGGATATATTGAAGTCTTTTATTCGGCAAGACGAGAACGATAAATACAAGATCCATGCAATGAGTTTAGAAATGCAGAACGAGTGGTTAGACATAGGAGATTTTTGCATTCCACTAGCACTAAAATGGCGCACCCTAATTCATGACTGGTCGCCAGCCTTGCTAAAATTTTATCTCAATGCGTTCCAGATGACTCTCCCAGATCAGAGTAATTTAGTAAGATGGGGTAAAGGTACCGAAAAAACTTGCTATATCTGCGGAAAGGCAGTTGGAACTGCCAAGCATTTGCTGGTGGGATGTAAGGTTCTCCTGGACAGCGGTCAATACTCGCGTCGTCACGATAGGGTTTTAGAGATCATACGTGAAGCGGTTAGTCTTTCGGTAGCCAGAGCGCAAAGGGAAATAACCACAAACGAGCGATCAATAGGATTTGTGAGAGAGGGCACCAGGGCTATAAAATCAAACGTCAAGCCTTACTCTATCCTTAAAGCGGCTTCGGATTGGACTATCATGATGGATACGTATGAGAAACAATACAAAATCCCCGAGGATATTTGTGCGTCGGCCTCCAGACCAGACATATTTCTATATTCGCGTATTTTAAAGCGCGTTGTGATGATAGAGCTTACGGTGCCTTGGGAAACCAACATCCCCAAAGACCATGCCATCAAGGTCAATAAGTATTACGAGCTCACTAACGAACTAACTCGAAATAGGTTCGTCGTTGATTTGTACGCGGTGGAGGTGGGAGCGAGAGGTATAACAGCTAAATCTCTCTATAACCTACTAAAAGACTTGGGCCTGTCCAGAACTAACATTAATTCATTCTTAGAACGTACGTCGAAGGCAGCCCTAGTAGGTTCTTTTCAAATTTGGTTAGGTAGGGAGAGGAACTTGGACAGTGGAGGTGAGCGTATAACGCGCGTTAGTTAAGGGGCCCCTTAAACCTACACCTGGGTCGCAAGTCCCAGGCACTGTTGAAGCTCCTCTCCCTGCAACGCAATGGACCCGGCACCCGCACGGTGAATCCATTGAATGCTAAGAGGTTTCGTCTCCCCGTTTGCCATTATTGCTAGAGTCACTAGTTTGATTTTGTCAACCTAAAGCCTAATGAAATTAAATATTTATTTTACAATTACCACATAGTCCTATTACTATTGAAAAACTACTTATCACACAGCATATATTTAATTTATATACAACGATGTTATCATGATTAGTAGTTCGAAACTATTACTAGTATTTAATACATTGAGGGACCTTATGAATATATATGTTTATTAATCTTCCTCTTCTACCTGACTATTTCCCAGCTATAGCCAGGGTCTGCCGTATATGTTGTGAATAGTTTTGGCAATTTGTTTTTACGATCGGCCGCCTGCCTGACATCAACCCTCTTTTGGGAATCGGCATTAATCAGTGATGTCTAAATACTCTTAGAAAGTACATATGACTCGGAAAAATCACATTGGTACATGCCTGGGCCAGGATCGAATCCGCGGCCTCGGCAACGAGAGGCGGGCCCTTTAACCACTAGGCAACCACTGATGCTATATATATATGGTTATTAATATTAATGATAATTCTGTACGTGCAAATAAATGTTTCTTTTGAACAAATAAAATAAAATATCTGAATTTAATTGTAAATCCTTTTAACATGTGAAATAATTAATATCTGTGCTAAAGTATTTAAAATGAACTGCCGAAATGAAACAATGTTCACAGTGCATGAGTAAAATAAAGTGTAATAGTTTTACATACATTTTATATTTATATCAAGAGAAATACAGTGGGGAGTAAGGGGAAAACGGAACCAAGACTAAATCCGACCCAATTGTCAACCTCACCTGCTCGCGCTGGTAGTTAATAGCTGAATAGCTGGCGACAGTGATTCTTGTAGTCACCGTGGTACTCCCTGATAGACAACAGACGAAGCTCTGACGACCGAACGCTTGGCGGTATAACCAGATTTCACTTCGTGTAAGCCTAAATACTTACACCATCGAACTAACACCTTAGGTTCGAGGGTTTTCCTGCTTCAACATGAAACAGGTTTTAGTGCGTCAGATGACAATCGAAACTGGACTAATAAACTCAAAACGTCAATTCTCTGGAACGAATAAAAAGGTTAAACAGCAGGAAAGCGGACCCCATCACAAGACGGGATTAACGCTAGGAAGAAGATGAAGATCAAGAGTAATACAAAGTAATGAGTATTTCAAATAACCCTTTATTAGCTTTTAATATGAAACGTATAGTGTGTAGATTGAAATATAATTAAATAAATATTTTTTTTTGTTGAATAACTAAAATATTGTATCCGACAAAGCAGTTTTAAATTTTTAATGATAATTATTTTTATGTAATTAAAAGACGTAGGAAGGATTCTCATGGAATTAAGCATTAAGCTTTAGTTATAATATAAAAAATAATGAATAAAATTATCAAATCCTACATTTTGATCTAAGATATAATGTGTATATATAAATATTACTAATATAGTATAAAAAAATATAATTGTAATAATAATGACTTGGTGTAAAAGAAACGATTAAAAAAAATCCAAGACATCACATAAAACAATATATCTCTGTAGTTGTAACTGCCACAATGGTAGAAGAAAATTACATGTCTCAAACTTAAATCTGACTTAAAGTATACAGTATATGTTCACCTACCAAGCTTGAACATGCATAAAGCAAACAAGGGGACATTTCATTAGATTTCGTGACGCAATCTTTAAATGACGTAATCCTGAAATCCTTTAATTCAATATATTTTTCTTTAGTATTTCTAAAAACAATTACAGTTTTGCAATTATTTCTCAGATCACTTATAATTACAATTTTAAATGAAGAACTAGGGCTAGTCATCATAATAATAAATAATTGAGCGTAAACTACAGAATGAAAACAAAAGTAGTAGTGTAAATACATTTTCTCGTTAATTCTTAATACCATTTATATACAACTATAATCTTTTAAATAATAACTCAGCTGTTTTTTTAAGCAATATCTTAAATAGTATTTCAAGTATTTGTTATTGAAACTACAAATAAAAATAATTCTAACCTGACAATTAACTCTTGCTATTTCTGAACCTATTCCGCTTTTAGACGCTCTAATTGCTTTTCCTTTCTGAACCTCCATTTTCAATACTTTTAGTGAATGTCCAAAAGTTTTAATATATAATTTTACGGCGGTAGAGCCTAGCTAATGTCAAATTATTGCAGCTAGTACATGGGCTGGCTCGACCGTGCAAGTACCACCCTCTAACAGAAGATCGACGTAAAGTAATCTTAAATGTCTGTGTTGCCCTTAAACTAACTGGTTGCCCTTTCCCTTTTTTATGGGCGACGGTACTAACTCCGTCAGGTAGGTCGTCTACTCGTTTGCCCCCCTTTTCATATAAAAAAAATATATAAACAATTCTTTTAACACGATGACGACAGAATTTATAAAGAATAATGATGAAAAATTTTAAGGAAATAATAAAATAAAATTTCTATATTTTGTTAATTTCCTCTCATTATTTCACACTGACAAAGAAAATAAATTAAATTCTTTCGTATTAAAACTTATAGAATAATTTAAAATGTATTTTGTTTGGATGTTATTTGATTTCTTTTGTCCGTAAATATTCTTGACCTTTCCTTGACATTCGACAAAACAAACTTATTTTTAACAAAAGTAACTATATTTGATAAATAACTTAATCGTATACTACAAATTTAATTTTATTAATCAAGTGTTAAAAAATAATTAAATATTATAAATTTATTCTGTATAAATAGTCCATATACATACTACAAGGTCATAGGGGAGAGTTGGTTATATCGTACTAACATTTAAATCGTACCACTTCTAAATTTTCCATTTAATGATAATTTTTTTTTACATTGACAACACCAAATCGTGGCCCTGCACCATCCCTCTTCACCCACTAGTTTAAATCGACGTGAGTTAACAACTGTGCACGTAAAAAAAGAAAAACATTTTTTTGTAGGAATTAATATAAATATTGTCGTACATTCGTAAGGAGATAACTCGTAATCAAGGTAAGCTATAGTTATTCAGTTTTTTTTTATTATTACACAATTGTATACTAGATTATTGGGGGTTTTTGTTGCGTGTCTAAGTTTTGAGCTTATGCCGGATATTTGCTTTTGTTTTAGAAATGCCTTAGTTGGTTTAATCGTACCACTTGCAGTTGGTTAAATTGTACCGGTACGATTTACCCGACTACCAACCGCAAGTACCTATAGTACTACCACAAGTACGTATAGTAAGTACTACCCAAGGCCAGGAACAAAAGTTATAAGAGGAAACGATCTCATTCCATCACCAGTAGCGATGATTCAGGAGAGACACTTGTTGTAGAACTAGATGATTATGATGACAGCGATGATTATCTTGAAAATATATGTCGAAAGTATAATTGTTCCTACTACGATAAGAAGGGTCCAAAAGTTGATTGGATTCAATGCGTTCGCTGTAAACGGTGGCTACATGAGACGTGTACTTCGAATCCAGACATTTGTCATTATTTTTTCCATTAAGATATATGCACAATAATTATATTACAAATAACATTCTTGTTAACTGTTACTTTATTATTATAATTTACCGGGTTTTTTTGTCTCATTTTTATTAGTTATGTTTATTGATCTCATTATCATAGTACAATCATGTTATTTTACTGAGAAAGCTTATAGTTTCTTTATATAACCTAAGAGTTAAAAATTATGTTTCTATTACCTAAAAGATATAAATAATGTTGTTTTATTACTTACCTAAGAGTTAAAAATAAATAATTTGATTGAGAATTTTAATGTCTTTCATTCAGTGGTACGACTTACACGCCCATGGTACGATTTAAAGACTTAGTGGTACGATTAAAACGACTAGTCGGCTAAATCGTACCGATGGCAAGCCTCTATAAAAAAGCATTTTTAACAATGTTAGAATAATGGCAAGGATCTGTTCTCTTCTTCTTAGGAATCTAAAATATGAAACTTTATTTTACATATGTATTAATTATTATAAGACGTGTTATAGTCGAAATATTTGAGTTAAAGTGAAAAGTGGTACGATATATCCGACTCTCCCCTATATGACAAAAAAATTGTGAAATTTTATAATATTACAAAACTACAATCATTGATCAAAAATTCAAATTTTAATTAAAAATATAATACGCAAAAACACCTTTAACTTTGAGCTAAAACTGAAAATCAGTGAAAATTGCAATTACATGAATTTTATTATTTGTTAAAATCAAATTGTACGTAAATCAACAAACTTAAAAGTGAATTGAATGAAAAAGAACATAATTATATAACATTATATATTTCTTTGGCAAAAATATTTATAATAATATTAATCTGAAGTGGATTTTAATAGCTCTTTTAATTCTTTCAACGTTAATTATACATGGCTTTCTGAAACTACAACAAAGTTATCTTTTTAAAAAGTTAAATCAATTAAGAATAAAATGAAATAGACCTTTTTATGGGTTCTTATTATTTATTTGTTTTTTAAATATTGCTTGTTATTATATATGTATTGCAATTTGAATTGCAATGTATCAATGACACAACAGTGTCAATAATTTTCAAAGGTAGAATAAATAAAGAAAAGAAAAAGTTACAATAACATCTGAAGGCTTTATTATATCTCGTAACTTCTCGCTTATGACTAAACGGTTTATTTGCTTTATAAAAAATATACACAACTTAGAAATTCTTACGAAGAATAGAATAAGTGTTCTAAGAATAGCAGAAAATCTATCTTACATATTTATTTAGGACAGACAATCTCAAGGCTTTAGTTATTATTCAAAGTAAGTTAAATTAAGTTGATTCAGAGAGAACTTTGGTAGAGAGAACTAAAAAATTTTCAAAGTTAAAGCAAACTTAGATATGAAACTCCATACTTTTTTTAGTAGTTTATAATGATATAAAATGTGAAGTAAATCCGAAAATATAAGTGTTACATCTTTATTAATATAGTGGAAGTAGCCCTTCTTTTTTTTATGTCAAAGGTGGCAAACGAGCAGACGGCCTACTTGGTGTAAGGTAGTACCGCCGCCCATGGACATCCACAACATG